TGCTCGTGCAAGTGTATGATGGAAGAGCTTTCCATCGAAGTACAACCAAGGGCAACACATTAACCAAGGAATCGGTGCTCCACATGCATCGTTCGCTAATAGAGCAGTCTCCACACCAGCCATAAATAAACTGGCCAATTGGACTCCGCGAGTCGTTACAAGCGATATCTAAATAACCGAAATGATAATTAGTATCTATTTTAACAAACCGATGAGTTTTTTCTTGATTAATGAATGTGATACCTGCAAGTCTTGTAGATAAGGAGCGTTCATAAGCTCAGGCGAAAATGCTTGAACAATAAAGGCATCTAGTTCCTGGCGTCGTAAAATTTTTATTTTATCAGAAAATGTCATGATGTATCTAAAATCAATATCAGATTGTTAATGACTGTCTGCAATGAAAATTAAAATAATTACCCGAACAATTTTAAATTAGCTAATTATTACCTTAGTACACAAGCCATAACCAATAAATGTTGTGGCACATAGGCAGTATTTAACATAAGTGCTGTATCAGACTTCATGCAGGTTAAAAATCCGCGTAAACGACGTCTCTTATCATCAATTCCAGTTCTAAAAATTAAGTATTAAAAATTAAGATAATTTACTTAATAATTTTCTCTTGAAATAAATCGATTATAATAAACTGTGTTACAATTTGCTCACCCAAACCATAATCGCTGAATGGTTGGAACACCCCAACCAATTTGTTCAGCTTTGACTGATTCTGGAGTTTGAAATGGATTTGCTTTGGACCAAACCCATTCTTTGATAATGACATCTGGCACTTCAATTTTGTCAGTTTCTGCATAATGCAGTACACTTAATTACCAAATTAACAAAATTTTTGAAAAAATTATGAAATCAATTTACTAACCACCCTTTTCTTTACTCTTAGTGGCTAAATACAGGCGATGATGCATGTTGAAAAGAATGGCATAGACCATCTGTCTAACGGGTCTATATATAACATGGATTGATGGGAATTCTCTGTGATTTTCATCTTCTAATAAGACTGGCAATTTAATCTCACCAGCAGTGAGAATTTGATATATTAAAGGTGACATCAACCCCTTCTGATGCCTCTCTGATGCGGTTCTTATTACTTCTGGTACACTTGCTGGAACCGTAGTACTTTTTTCTGTTTGTTTAACAGAATCTGTGACATGAGCTGGAGAAGTGGCTGATGAACTACTACTTGAACTGGATGAACTAATTAAGAGATTGTGTGTTCCATTTACTGTGTGTCCATTATCTATAAATAAAAAAATGTTCATCAATAAGTTATTTATGCTTTAACAAATAAGTTTTTTCTCTTACTGTGGTCTTCTTCTGGCCGAGTAGTTTCAGTATCACCTTGATTTAGTACACCTGGCGGTTCTACAACAATTTCCGGAGCTTTTGTAGCATTTGCAGTCGCTTCTTTGTAAGCATTCAAACTTTCTTGTTCGCTTTCAGCTGTTTCAGAAGCAAAACGTGCCATTTCCATGTTAGTTTTCTCTTCATTAGTAGGAGCTACATCCGATGCATTGGCCTGATCATTCTGGATTGTATCTATAAATGAAAATTGATTATGAAATACACATTAACATGCAAATAAAATAATTTAAAAGATATCAAATGTACCTTTGGTAGGCTTGATGGGCTTGTAGTGTGAAAAACCATCCTTTGTTCCATTTACATAGTATTGAACAGATTGTTTGAACCTGGAGCATCTAGAATCTGTTAGAGAGCCAAATACTTTTTGTGTAACGTCATCTAACTCAATAGATGATAAATCTTTAACAAAGTTTGCAACTGCTCGCACAGTCTGGTCTATATCCATCTTGTTTGTACTTGGATTCAATTTTTTATAAAAACTTTGTAAATCAGTTTCATTCAAAATGTAATTTCCAAGGAGTGCAGCAAAAATACATAATCTTTCAGCAGGAAGATTTAATCCTTGTAAAACTTCATTAACAAAGTATTCTTTTGTGTCAAGAGAACCCTGAAAAAGTATTTATTATTATTAAAATCACACAATTCAAAGAAAATTTAAAGCAAGCATCATACTTTATATGTTAATTTCAACTGTTCGGAAGAAAAATATCTAGGAGGATCAAATACAGCATATTCAGAATCATCAGCAATAAGACCATGATAGTGATTTTCTCTGCAGAAAGTTATAACTTCTTGATGATGATCATCCATACTGCTTAGCTACAAAAAGAATCCATGTAATCCATCTTGTATTTTTGTTAGCAAATGTTACCTATAAATTATTTTAGAAAATACTTACAACAGTTACATTCAAATGCCTCAAAGCCATTCTCAAACTGGTTTTTAGACATGCTGGAGCAATCCACCAAATTTTTGGTGGAGGTGTACCTTTAGTTGAAACATGTTTCAATACCTAAACATGTACAAATAGTTAAATAAAAGTACACATACATAAAAGATAATAAATATCCTTACATTATTTGCTTTGAGTCTGGTATTTAGCTGATTTTGAATCCAGTCTGACCTCCTGGAAGTCTCTATAGAACCATTGAAATATACAGCCAATTCTAACCCTGCTGCTTCACTTTGTTGCATGAGGACTGCAAGAAATTGGATCATGCGATTCCATTGTCCACCACAAGCCCAGTCTGTAAATAAGAGTTAAGCATTAAAGTGACCTTAATAAGATTTAGTACTTTATATGATAAAAGTGAGATATTTTACCTGAAAAATAACCACCATACAATCGATCAAGGCAACATTCTCCATCAAGAACTAGACGGAATTTAGTAGTTGAAAATGATTGAGTTTGTCCTTTGCCAATTCTATTACGTTGTTTCTGAACTATATTTCTAGCTAATTTGAACAAATCAACAGGTACTGCTGAACCTGGCACAGAATTACTATCCAAAAAAGCTTGTAATGCCTGAGTATTCATTTTGTTAAATTTTCCAGGACACAATTTATGAATAAGCTAATTGTACTTTCACTGTTCAAAATTTTCTCTATACTGATAATTTTATGTCATCTGATTTTTGAAAAATCTCCAATCTAGGATGTGGAGAAAGTCAGTTTTGATTTAAATAACCAGGACCTGAAATCAAAAAAAAAAACTTAGTTTACAATTTAATGTATAAAATTATTAAATGAATTGTCCCAATATGAAGATTTTCAATACCTAAAAGAAAGTAAAGTTAATGAATTAATTTTTTTCTTATTAAAACATTCACGATCTACTAATTAATCATTAATTGTTTCATGAAAGAGCTATCAATATAAATATGCCAATATAAAATATAAAAATATAAAAGATTTCTTTACACAAACTGCAAACTATATATCGAGAAAAAAAAGAGATAAAATTTCGAGTTTGAAAATTGAGGGCAATACCTCGAAGTCGCTTGTGCATCAGTTCTTTTTCCCCCATGACTATAACGGAACAAATAATCGAATATCATGTAATAAGGTTAAATTGCCTGACTCAGTAGTAATTAATCGGACTGGTAATAGCACCGAAAAAACAAAAAGTTAAAGAGATGCAAGCATACATACGACACTGTACTAATTGATAACAGTGAATGAATAATTTGGAGTGGTATAGAGCGAGAGTAATCAAGCGAACGAACGGACGAAACTAATGAAGCGACAAACAGTGCACAAAAATGCATGCTTGAAAAATTTGATCAAGCATGCATGATAGACTGAGTCAGAAGTCATAGAGAGAGAGAGAGAGAGAGAGATAGAGAGAGAGAACGAGAGAGAGAGAGAGAGAGAGCGAGAGAGAGCGAGAGAGAGCGAGAGAGAGAGAGAGAAAACGAGAGTTGGGGCGCTTGTACCAATTGATTGGTGTAATTGGAGCCGCGACAGTTCTCTTGCCTGCACACCAACGACACACGCAGCTGCACATAGCTTCAGTCAGCTAAGAATTATCTAACAAGTGAGCCAGCTGCAGTAGCCTTGCGAATAAATGTGAAACCATTACCGATTCAAGTGCTCAATGCGAGCTGAAAAGTAATCGAATTCGAATGTAATTCTGGAGAGCGTCCGGGGCGTGGAGCCGGCATGGCCGCGCACGACACGATAGAGCTTTTGCACATATCGGCTTACGCAAGTGCCGCTGCTGCTGCTACCGACAGACCACACAATCAATTTCTCGTCGGCGACGACTGTGATATATCGCACTCGTATATTATCATCTATGTACCTCGAGTCAAGACGAGTCATCCTGCTGCTGCACAACCCCTCGGCGTTGACGACGAACACACGAAAACACACGACAGCGGCTACGGCGGCACTCTTTTTTTACATGTGACGTGCCCAAAGCTGTTCTTTCTACATACCTATACGTACACTCTCGCAGACCTGTCGCAGACTGCCTGCACTCGCTCACTCCGGCTATTCGAAAACGGAAATGAGGGCTGAACAAGCATCGAGCGCCGCCGGGCGCCGCGACCTAGTCTTGCGGCTTGCCTTGCTTTTACTGCAAATGAACGAACTGTACAGTGTACACCGCAGGAGTTCGGACAATTTGCCGCCATGATTCGTTTATTCGAAATTTATCAAAATTTTACTTCTTTTTTTCTTTATGATCACTCGAATTTTAACATTTTTTTTCGTAACGATATTTTCATAGCAATTTATATTTTAATTAGTCATGAGAACTGATCAAACAATTTAGATTCTGCAAATTTTCAACGTATTTGTAATTTTAGAATACAATAGAATATGTAAACGTTTTGATTTTATATCGATGACGTATTTATTTGTACACCTATATCATTTCATATCGAAAGTCGAAATAAATTTGAAATTGTATTGAATACCGGATATAGAGGGCGTAAAACTATAAATATAAATTATTAGAACTATTCATTATAAATAAAAATATTATAAATAAAAATGATTAGCTTACTAATTGTATTTATCAGAAAATAATTTAATTATTAAAAATAAATCATGGAACAAAATGCTTAGACTAAGTAATGGTTATGGGAAGAAGAAAAATTATACTTTCAATTCAAACATATTTTTAATATTTATTTATACAAATACATTCTCACTTACGAAACATCTCAGTATTATCAACATACAATCATTTCAGGCAAACACAACTATATTTCTCTATAACTTATTGGAAGAGCAAACCAAGTAAAAATAAATTAAATAATGATCAATTATCCTTGCTGACTAACTTAAAACTCTTATGTTACATCAAGGATCAGTACAATGAACAATTGTAATTTGAATTACTGGTTTGAAATATTTGTACTGCAAAATCATAGCTTGAGTAAAAAGCAGAGTTTTTTTATCACACACTATCTCACAAAACTGGTGATTTTACAGACTAATCCCAACAGAGAGAGAATTACAAGAGTATAAAATTGAGAATCGAAGTAACTTAAACAGAATTGCAACTTTAAACGCTGCAAACATTTCCAACTCTATAGTTAGAACTATGCATTGCATAGCAAAAGAAAATTTATATTTTTCATTTAAATTTATTACAACTCATCGTGGTCCTCATTATGTTCTTTGTCTTCATCTGCATCAATTTCAAATTCTTTTTCAGTCTCATTGTTATCTTCAAATAGGTCATCTCCTTCATCTTCTGGAGCTTCATCTAAAGGAATACCTAAAGATTTCCTCATAAGTTGTTCAACATTGCTAGCAAAGCTGGCAGTTTCCTTGAGCATATAACCAGACCTCAGAGTTGCAGTTTGGAACATCATTGTGGCAATATCTTTAGTTGCTTGATCCTCTGGATCAGATTCAACTCTTCTTAACAATTCCCTGATCAAAGGATGCCTTGGATTGATTTCAAGAGTTTTCTTCTGGTTCAAGTAATATGTCTTTTGTGGATCATCAGCTTTCTGGTGGGCATTAGAAACTGCTAACCTTTCCATATTACCAGTCCATCCAAACATACTTGCAACTAAAGCACAAGGAGAGTCTGTCAAACGTTCTGATAACTGAGCTTTGCTGATATGATCTTTTAATTCATCATTCAGGTATTTGATTAAAGGTTCAAATGTAGACTCAAGTTCCTTTTTTCTCTCTGCAGACTTAGCTCCTTCATCAAGTGAAAAGCCTTCCTTAGCAACATTCTGGAATTTCTTTCCATCAAATTCGGGAACAGATGACAGAGCATATTCATCTACAGCTTCAATTAAGTACAATACTTCATATCCTTTTTTCAGCAGGCGTTCAGCAAATGGAGACTTCTTAACTTCATCAAGAGAAGCACCAGCAATATAATAAATGTGCTGTTGGTTTGGCTTCATGCGAGATACATAGTCAGCTAATAATGTGGGCTTATCTTGTGCTGAGGTACGGAACATGAGTAATTTTGACAATCTAGCACGATTCTGAGCATCTTCAATAATACCTAACTTGATATTAGTGCTGTACTCTTTCCAGAAATCTTGGTAATTTTCTTTAGGAATCTTTTTAATCATATCAAGAACTTTACGAATCAATTTCTTCTTAATGATTTTAATGAGTTTGTGCTGTTGGAGATTTTCTCGAGAAACATTGAGGGGAAGGTCATCACTGTCAACAATACCTTGGATGAAAGCAAGATAATTTGGCATTAAATCATTAAATTTATCAGAAATGAAGACTCTTCTAACATATAATTTTATATTATCATCCTTAGTTCCATAACGGTTGAAGCTATCACTTGGTTGAACCTTAGGAACAAAAAGTAATGATTTGAAAGTGACTTCACCCTCAGCAATGAAATGAACTTTAGCCAATGGTTCTTGAGAATCTTTTGTCAATGCTTTATAGAAATTGTTATATTCTTCATCAGTGATTTCAGATGGTTTGAGAGTCCAAATTGGTTTAGAATCATTCAACAATTCCCAATCCCAGACTGTCTTGTTAACTTTCTTTTTCTTCTTATCTTCGTTATCTTCCTCTACCTTTGCATCCTCATCTTCTTCAGTTTTCTTGTCTTCTACTTCTTCAGCCTTTTCTTCCTGGTCTTCTTCCTCAACTTCAATGGTCTTGCTACTCCACAAATAAATAGGGAAGTTGATAAACTGAGAGTATTTCTTGATCAGGTTCTTGATGGTATCTTGTTCTAGAAAGTCAGAAGCTTCATCTTTCAGGTATAAACTGTAAATAAATATTAAATTAATTTTGTGTTAGCTTTTAAGTTAAACAAATATTAAATACTTTATATTATAGTTTATAAAAAATTGACCAATCCCATCTTATCATTTACTTAGAATCATTTAGAAATCTAATGTATTCATTAATTAAAATCTACATACAAACTAAATGGTAATTAAACAAGAGGCCTTATGACCAAGTTTCTTAAAAATGTGTAGTATATAGAAAGTAAAGATAATTTTTTATTTTAATAAGAATAATTAAGAACACACCTAATAGTGGTTCCTCTCTTGAGTGTGTCACCTCGTGGATCATCAACAATGCTGAAGGTTGAACTGTCAGATTCCCAAATATACTGCTTATCATCATTGTGCTTTGTGGTTACAATAACTTTGTTAGCCACCAGGAAGGCAGAATAGAATCCAACACCAAATTGACCAATCATGTCATTCATTTCTTGAGCATTAGATGCATCTTGCATTTTACCCAGAAACTCTGCTGTACCAGACTTAGCAATTGTACCTAAGTTGTTTATGAGATCTTGTTTAGTCATACCAATTCCAGAATCTGTGATACTTAAAACCTTATTCTCTTTATCTGCTTTTATTTTAATTGATGTATCAGGATTAGTATCAAGAATATTTTTATCAGTGAGTGCCAATAACCGAATTTTATCCAAAGCATCCGATGCATTGGAAATCAACTCTCTGAGGAAAATTTCTTTGTTGCGGTACAAAGAATTGATGATGAGTTTCATCATTCGGTTGACTTCTGTCTGGAAGTTGAATTTCTCAGCCTTTTCTCTCAATTCTTTCACCTGTGCTACATTCAGTCCATCAAGTTTGATAGCTTCTTCCTCCCTCTGCACAACTTCATCGTCTGAAAAATTTCAATTCCAAATGTGTTCAATAAAAAATTTCAATGGAATTTAACTTGACAATGTAAATATGAAACTTACCTGTGCGCGAGGCCTCTCGACTAGATCCAAGGTCTTTCTCAACAGTTCCAACCTCCTCATCAATGAAATCCTCCTCTGCAGCTGCAAATCCTAAAAAGAAAATCAACGAAAAATAATTAAAACACATACTCGATTAATAAATTCGATTTAACTAGAGATCAGTAACTGTTGTAATAATTTTTACCACCAAGCTTATCATAATCAAATTAGCACAAGGGCTTAGGTCAAATATACAAAGTCACAATGCGCTGCAGAAAAAGAAAGGTAAGATGGTAGAGTCAGTGTCTCACCTGCAAGCAGCAAGAGCGATGCGACGACGAAGGCGGATTTCTTCATCTTTGGACAAAAGGAAAATCAGAATTAAAAATAAGGAAGGTCAGCTTGCGCGTGCAAGCACTCGCACTTTGAAGAAAACCTCGTCGGACAGACTCGTCAAGGGTCCGCACGGCAACTATGCTGTCAAAGCAGCGCGGCGCGAGTCCTAACTGTATTTGATGCAATGGAGAGCGAGACGTGGTAGATATAGCGCGAGCCAATCGCGACGGCCCACGCGGCGTACGTGGACCAATTGGCGCAGCGCCGGTGGCACCTACTATACAAATGTCCTCAGACCATTGGGCTTTGCCTAACAAGCCGCGAAACTCGAGAGCTCGACTCTTTCTAGAACATTCCCGTGGTCGAAGACCCGCACATCGCACTCTCGAATGTTCAAAATCCCTTTATATTACTTTCTTGATTTTTCAGAAAAGGAAATTACGGAAATAAGTATTTCTCAAT